GAGCGGTCCAAGATTTATTTTTAAATTTTAGTGTGTAAAAAATTCTAACTCTAATAAAAACTGAGACGAGGTAATCAAGAGGAAAGTCTTTGCAGGGGTGGTGGAATGGTATTTTTGTATGGTTCGTTTTTTAGCCGCAAACCAGTTAACGAATACAGTGCATAAATTGGGAAAAACTCACAAAATGTATTACCCACTACCGGAGTATAAACTGCAAAATGTGCAGGTGGCATCATTAAATCGCCAAAAATCACATCTTCATTGAAAACTTTAAAATGTCACAATTAAAACAGGATGTACCACTTCGTAAGAATGTGCAAAGTTCTCACAAACTTCGCAGAAGTGGTGGTGTAAGAATTTTCGTATTAATGAATATCCACAAACATACCATAAACAGTTGTGTTCTTTCAAGGTGAGTTTCCGGTAACTCACATCACTTAATGATTGTTGAAGAGACCGGAATACAGGGAAGATGTGTTGTGGAAGTTTATTTAAAAGAACACCTTGGCAAATTTTTCATTTCAAATAAAATAGTGTTTCACAGTTGGTTCTTGCACTTGTATCGAAATAATCTGTAGTAAATAGTTTCCGAAACGTTCTTTGGAATTCTATTGGTGTGGGATTTATACAATTCCCAAATTGACGCCTCACAGAGCCAAAGAAATATGTCAAACAATACTGATTTAGTTGCAGCAACCTTTTAGTGAAAATTGTAAACAAATTGTATTCTGTGAAAACTATTAAAAATAATAAGCAAAATGTTTATGTTCCTGAAGTTGTTTTTTATTTTTTTGTGAGTGATTTAAAAATATTAAGAGTGAATTAAAAATTTTGCAATTCACTTGTGAATAACAACTTATTTGTCAAACTTGTTAAGGTTTTAATAAACGCAGTTTAAAACGTCAAAATTGAATAAAAATGTTTTGCTTGAATATATTAATAATTTATAGGAAAGAAAAAAATGACCAATGTCACTAGTACATGCCAACCATTTTTATTTTTGTGTACAATTATTAGTATTATATGAATCACATACGAATGCTACGAAATATTTGAATCTTCGTGTTTCCCGGGAACGGGCTCCCAAGGTCACACCCGTTCCGCAAATATTGCTGAAGTTTCGTTACTGATCTACTGTGCTTCTACCGAACGTGAATGCTTATTATACGTATCACGGTGGTATAAGTAAGGTGTTTCAACTCCATTCATAAATTTTCATAAAACGGGCGCTTAAAAACCGGTATCGTAGTAGGTTGTGGGAGCTAATGTGACTCGATTTTGAAATGTGTGGCAATTAGTAACTTTTATGAAATAGAAATATATCTGTGTCCTTGTTATGCTTCGTCTTTTCGACAGCAGGTATTTTTTGCTTCCAGTATGGCGATCCTGTTACTGTCATTTGGCCGTCAATTGCCTGGGTGGTAACACGTCTTCCACGACTGTTTGCTGGTTACCGGTGACACTTTCTCGTTGAATAGGGCTGGAGTTACTTTGGGACTGGAATAGTGTTCTTTCCGGTCCGTTAACTCGATAATTCTAGTACGGTCTGTCGTAACCTCAAATCGTAAACACATCAAACTTTCGTTGACAGTTCCTACATTTGATAGCGAAAATTACTAGCCTCGCGCTATCTTTGTTTAACACATAGGTTAGGTTCCTCTCTGTCGAATTCCGACCACAGGCAGTTTGCCGTACTTTCTAAAAGTAATACTAGATCTAGTGACTTTAGTGGGAGCTTAAGATGACCGCCACCATGCGGTAGTTAGTTGTACTATTTGCACTATCAACTGATGTTTGACATGACATTTGACGTATATTCCCCCTCATATTTCAAAAAGACGTCACAAAACTTAACCTATAAAGCTGACATTTTTGACGACTTGCATTCAAGGACATTTTTACGCAAATTTCATTCATTATTGGTCGACCTTTGTGAATAGTTTCATCATAGTGTCCAGTAGACGGCGCTAGGAACTTTAAGTTCCCGTGGCCTCCTGGGATCTCTTCCAAAAAAGACCATTTTAAACTGGGAGTTCGCAGACCTGTTATATACGGCCGTGCCCTGTATTATCTGTTCAGAAATTAAAAAACTATTCAACCGTCAACATTGTCTATGAAAATTTTTGGCGCGAAGATATGGTGTCAAAAAAATTGAGGTTAGAAGGATCATGGTTTTCAAAGAGGTCTTATACGAGCCCTAACAACTAAATATTGGGACACAGACAATTTCTCAAAAAAATTCGGTATATATTTTTGATATCATTCAATTCGTTTGGACTAAATGCAAATTTTGCATGGGCATCTATTTTGGCAGAGAGTGAGGTATTTTGCAAATTAATAAATTTTCTTAGAGCCCAAAAATTGTCACCTAAATAAAAAATGTGCCATTTTTGCTGACATTTAAATGTTGGGACACCCGAGAAAATTTGCTAAGTATACCATCGAAATACAAACGTAGTAGCTGGTAAATGCTACCATTATTATAGGGATCGTAGCATTTCATACTAGTGTTGGTTTCACTTAGAAGAAAATAGTTAGTGGTGGGCTAGTTTTAGTAAAATTTCTGAAAATAATAATTTCGCAGTACTGCATGGGAAAATCGATAAGAAAAAGTGAAGATTTGTTCTAAATAGCTTAGTCGTCGATGGTAAACATCGTAAAATATTACGCAGACAGAGGTACCATAGGAATAAAAGGTAAAATTCCCGGTAGGCCACCACTTGTGAAGCCGCGTGATCAACGACAACTGAAGAAAATTTATAAAAGTGGACGACGGAGTACTTCAAGAGAAATTATACTACTTGCTGGAATAGCGATAACCAACTAAATGTTTGAAGACAATATTGTCGCGAATGGATATACAAATCAGGCCTTGGTTTTTACATTGTAAATCTTAAATAAAGCTATCTTTGATTGACTTTATTATTTATTTATATTATGTTAGACTAAAGTAAAACCACAATTAAAAACTGCCCATAAGAAAAATTGGTTAATAGGACCAAAATAAAAATTGGAGAAAAGTAATATATAACGCTGAGTCCAAATTTGATGTATGGGTGAGATAATAGTCAAAAAAGAGTTATTGAAATAAAAAAGGAATTTTAATATGGATTATCTTAAACAATCAGTCAAGTTTGCAAGCGGAAAAATGGTTTGGGGGTGCAGGTCTATTAACGGAATTTAAAGACCAGTTAACAACGTTCATGGAAGGGAAATTACAAATTCAAACAAATGTCAAGAGACTTTGTAAAAAAATATTAACAACTACTGAAGCAGTCTATCCTGTCGATATTTATATTTTTCAACAGGATGATGCTTCAAGTTACACACCTACAACACTTGTTACAAAGAATGATAATATAAATGTTTGCCCTGACCATCGAATAGCCCAGATCCTAATCTAGTAGAGACGGTATGGCGTGAAATAAAAAAATATTTAGGAAATCATCCATGACAAGCGATTGTCAATCTTCAACAGGAAATTTCGCGAGTGTAGGATACGGTAACAACTCCTGTGTATTGCAGAAAATTAGTTGAAAGTATAATGGCAAGAATTCATGCAGTTATTAAGGAAAAGGAGATATGACCAGTTACTGAATTTGCTGTGTCCCAATATTTATGTGTCACAAAATGTTACGTTGTTTTAGAGTTTTATGTCACTGTTTGAGTTAGAAATCAGTTTTTGCTGTGCTGTAAACATTAACAGTTTTGCAAAACGAAGTAATTTTAAAATTTTAATTATCTAAAATAAATTACATTTTTGTTAAAAAGTTTGGTGATTTTTTTATAAAAAGCATCAGGTGTGACGTTAGTGACATCAAATTAGCGCGAAATTTAAAATACATTCTTTAAATTCCAAAAATTTATTTGTGATTATTCAGTTGTTGCAGTCGTATGTGTGATGTGATCCCAGAATTTAAGTTTGTGGAGAGAACTGAAATAAATATTTCAAAAACCTGTTTTCAACACCCAAGTGATAAGAGCAAATTGGGATTTGCATTTGCTTATGTCCCACATTTATCGAAATTGATACGAAACCACATTTTTGGACCCTTCAACTTTCAATAACTACATTTTTATCATTATTAATTTCATTAAATTTCGTTAGACGACAACTAATTGACGTATTTGACAGAGCGATGACAACTCAAGCTGAAATTCCCTAGACTTCCCTAGCGAAGCTCACAAGGTCATTGATGCCACCTGACGTCACAAATAGATGCGCAGACGATTTTTAAATTGGTACCACAGAACACGCTGTGCGGTCTGTGATTGGTACATCGGATGCCTATACCGTGTCTCCTTCTACCAAGCTCATATTCAATATATTTGATGGTTTTCATTGAAATCACGTTTTTTGTTTATTTTATTTTGACATTTTTGCATTTTTCTCATGAAATTTCAAATTTGAAGTTTTTTCTACTTATCAACTTGCCAGTGTAAAAATAAGCCCTAGAGGAGTTTTATTTGGTACCAAGCATGGTACAAGAAGAGGTGGTATGCTACTCCGGTGGATGAATTTTCGTCTGCTTTGCGCACCAGCCACGTGACGTCACATTGCCTTGAAAACCGTGCCTGAAGAACGCTTCTGGGAACGCTCTTCTGGCAACTTCGAACGCTGTCAAATGTCAATTTATCAGTGACATGTGAGGTTATAAAGGGGAACTTAACTTCGAAGGTGCTAAGTTGAAATCAGATGCTAATAATATGTGTTCCGAATTTGGCATCGTTCGTTGATAGTGGTAATACGAACATGCTACAAGCTAGAATTTAAAGTTGGCGGTCATGATAGAATGCGCAATATCATACCATATGCCATATGCCTGTACCATGGTACCAACTTAAATCAACAGGTGGTGGTTTTTTTATTTTTGAATAAAAAGTAAATCCCCATACATCAATCTCACCAATCTAGACGCTCGATCTTTATAAAGTCCCTAGATAAACATTCTAGGGACTTTAAGATCATAAGAAGCGTGGACGCCATCGTGCGGCAGCGGCGTAAACTAACAGATTATAAGATGGCGAACCAAATTAAATGAGCGTCGGTACAGTGTTGATGGCGCCTTCTATGTTAATCTGTGCACTTTTATTTGTAAATTGTGTATCAATTATTTGTGTTGTTCATTTGTAGCAGTTTTGGTTTAACTTAATATTAAGCTTTAAAGTGTGAAGTGAATCAGACTGTCAGACCACAATCTTAAGAATAGTTGTTTAATTAGAAAATGGCAATGACGTCCTCACAAGTAAAAACACAATCAAATAATATGGCCGGAAGTGGTTGGCCCCGTAGAAATAGTCAAAATTCTACCACTGCTGCAGCAACAACATCAACATTTGAAAGCAAATATTCAGTCACATCACCAGCTATAAACAGAATAATCAATTTGTGTGTAATAAGTTGAATTGTTATTTTTTGTATTGTAGAATGTGTTACAGATATCCACTAACAAATTATATATTTGGCACCAAAGAACCTTTATTTGAAAAAGATCCAAGTGTTCCAGCAAGATTTCAAAGAATGCGAGATGAATTTGAACGGATAGGTATGAGACGAAGTGTAGAAGGTGTTCTGCTTGTTCATGAACATGGTTTACCACATGTTTTGTTGCTGCAACTTGGAACAACGTTCTTTAAGTTACCTGGAGGTGAATTAAATCCTGGTGAGGATGAAGTTGAAGGTCTTAAGAGGCTATTAACAGAGGTACGTACATATAGTTATATGAACATAAAACATGTTTATCTCAAGCTCAGTTTATATAATAAATAAGTGATTGTAATTTATTACATCTGTTTGAAATATGTTATATAAATATATTTATAAGAAAAGAACACAATTAATTATAATCGGTTTATTCCATAAGTAGTAGTATTTGGAATAAACTGAATTTATAATGTAAGATGCAATATTTTCATATTTTTACTATGACGACGAAATACACACAGCCAAGCACAAATCACCCAATAAATGGAAATTCCCGTAATCTTTCACTATAGTATGTACTTATATGAAAAAAAAATCTGAACAAGATGAGAAAATCAGGTGCTCATAGATCAATGAAAAGCAATGGGAATAAGACATTCATGTCATTTGTCCAGTTTCTTTTTATTATTATGATTAAACTCGCACATAACGTAGGGTTTAGATTTATTAAAAAATCAAGAAGGAGATTAGATTAAAATAAAAAACAGGACATGTTCAAAACTTGAAAGTTTGTAAAACAATGTTTTACCAACATTTATACTTTTCAGGTGAGAACTGTTTCAAATAATCTGATTGTAACATATTTTATAGTACTCGTACACAAGGGTAGAAAACTTAAGCCTAGTAAAATTTGTTAAACGCATTCAGGCTTTCCAAAAATTGTCAGAGTACAAACTGCCTTCCTGAAACACGTGGATATGGTGGCCGCATCCTTACATAGGTACGATGTCACTACATTTTCAAAAACAAAGTAAAAATGATGTAAGGTATTCATCCAATTTCAACGCCTATGTTTAAGTTTGTAAGCATTTTGTTCATGTTTAGTTCAGAATTTGGTGGAATTGGTAAAATACACTATAAAGATTTAATATAATCGCTATTATGCCAAGAAAACGTAAGAAACAATCATCAGTGTTGGATTATGACCTGATTTTTACAAAACAAATAACTGTCTCAATGGCAAAGAAGTACTTATCACTTTCATTGGCCGAAAAAATAACAGCAAATAACAAAACCAGTTTACTAAATGTTAAAATTATTGGAGTTAACTTAACATATTACCAATGTGAGCGTTATAAATATTACAATTTACCTGAACTTTATTCATTCGTCAGGGGACGTTTCCAAGATTTCATGGCCGTCTTCTTTAATTATTATTTGATCAACAATACAAATGTTGATAATTCCGTTTTTAGATTACCTTTATTTCGTTGCATTTGGTTCACAAAATAGATACTTAAGAAATACGTCAAAGTGTAGAGGTAGAATGAGAAGAGGGAATATAGTTTGAAAAAGTGACTGGTGCCGTGCTTGGAACTAGGGTCACAATTCCAGCTCCTCCTGGAAACTGATTGTTTCAGTGGCGTGCTGAAAAGCGTTTGCTGGGTACCGGGCACAAAACACAAGAATAATTTAATAAGATAGAATAAAAAGCAGCAGTAAAATTTACGTGTGTTTTTGTGTTGCTATATATATTTTTGTTTTTATAAATAGATGTTCTTACTAACCATTTTAAATCAAACGACACCGCCTCTGATCCTCTTTTGTTGACTGAAGGCTCCCAATGTAGTACAGAAAGGGTTAAATTACTTTATTATACAAGCAGACGCATCCGCCATTTTGAATTCCAGAATTTTAGTGTCAAATCTAAGGTTCTGGTCAATTATTCCGAGTATGAAACGTGACTACCAAAAACAATACTTTGCTTTGTCTTTTGTTTAAAATTCAAATTGCAACTATATACATTACAAATGATAATTACGAAAATTTATTAGGTATTCGTTTTTCATACAATTAAAATAAATATGATGTGATTAATTTTGTTAAGTCTTAGCGACGATGAGAAAATTCCACGATTATAAATTTTTATTACCCCTTTTAGTTCAGCATCTCGCTAGAAATTGTAGTTACATTTAAACTTATTTAATAATCTTTTTCAAAATTAAATATGAAATAGTGCTTTATTATATATACATAGTTAGTATATATAAAGTCCCGGAACGATTGAATAACTTTGTTATTTGAAAAGCTTTTTTTTCAGGAAATTAATTTTGTGTGGATATATAGTTAAACATGGCTACTTGATTACAATATTTTTAATTTTTTTATCGCTTTTGGTTTGACACACGACTGCCTACTTTATTTTTTTTTTTTTTTGTTTAATGGAACACCCAGATGTTTTTGACATTTTCTGATGCAGAATAAAAAACTAATTTCAGAAATTATCAACATGTTTATTTCTACCGATACAAAAAGTATAAAACAGTTCACAAAAAAGCACCTAATATTGTAAAATTACGTCATCTTTGAAAATACTAATAAATAATAAACTATGAGTGGGACTACAACAACTGTTCAAAGTGTTCTCCGTTTACAGTTTGGCAGTGATGTAATCGATCAACAAAATGTCAATATTAGGTGGTTTTTTGTGAATTGTTTCTATTTTTTGTATCAGCAGACATAAACATGTTGATAATTTCTGAAAGTAGTTTTTTATTCTGCTTCAGAAAATGTCAAAAAAATCTGGGTGTTCCATTAAAAAAGAGTAGGCGATCATGTCTGTCAAACCGAGAGCGATAAAAAAAGGAAACATGTTGTAATCAAATCGCCATGTTTAACTATACAGGGTGTTATTGAAAGGTACGTACAACAAAATGGACAGTTCTTCACGAAGTCTAAGAAGTCTGAAAAACTTATTTTGTGTTATCAAAATTATAAGGGGAAAATTCACCTAACTTTTTTAGACGCTACTGAAGGATAAAGAGGTACAATGAATTTATTTTAGTAAATCCTAGCAAACGTAACAATAAAACTTTTGTCAAGACTAAATGTGGCTATAGAAAAGAAATATGATCTTTTTATCAGAGGCGTACAACGAATTTGGACATAAATTTTAATAATTTTTATCTCTAAAAGGAGAACACTTTTACCTGAACTTTTTTTTAATTTTAGCACCTATACTTCGAGACCAATTGCCGATTTTATTTTGTACGTACCTTTCAATAACACGCTGTATATGTTAGAGGAAATGCAGTGAATGCTAACAGCCACTAGGGAATGTTATCTTGAATATAGAATGTAACATTTACTGATTTTTTCTAGGGAATGTTGACTGGTATGTAGAGATTGTGGTTTCAAGAGGTAAAAATTAAACAACATAGAATTATCAAAAAAAAATTCACTAAATTACCAGTTATTCTACCTCCATAGGTTTAATATCAAGTAAACTTGAATCATTTATGATTAACGTTTCCTTAAGATTATTAAAAGTACTCTGGTAATTGTGACTATTTTGGGCATAATAACTTTCCAAATAGTAATATAACTTTGGTTATTATATACATTATGCGTATCATTATGAAGGCATCTTTATTTGCAATAGATTCCTGTGTGTGTGATGGGTTATATTGGGTGATTTTTAGTGCTTGTAATTGTGGTAAAAATAATCTTTTCAGTCCAAGATAAATTGACCTAAACAGAGAAAAGAGTTGACTTTAAAACAATTTTAGTCACGGTTTTTCTTTTCTGATATGCTGTTTGTTTTAGTTACGTACCTTCTGTTGTTTTTGGGATAGGTTTATAGACAAAGACTCATTGAAAATAGACAATCATCGCTGTTGCTGTTACTACGATATCTTAAATTAATAAAACAATATTAATGTAAATTTATATAGATTTGTAAATATTTATATAGTTATATGTAGGTATATATATTTTTTCAATGGATAATAACATCGAATTGCTGTGAAGTATTAATTACAACATTACATGTAACAAAATATTATATTGCTTTTATGTCTATTGTCATTGACTATTGTATTTAATTTCATAAAGTTGAAAACAGTGATGCAGTAGTGCAGTTCTTTTATTTTTATCAGCTAAATTTCTCGTTTTGTTTTGTTTTGTTTTTCTTTTATATACTTATATATATATTTATGGGTTTTGTAGAGTACTGAGTACACAATTCAAAATGTATCTAAATGAAAATCCAAGAAAGAACAATTACACTTAGTTCTGGTTATTTTTTTATCATTTATGTCTTATGTTTTCTTTCATTTGCCTAAATTATTATTGTTCTTTCTCTGGTAATTTGGATTTGTAATAGTGCATATTTCTGGATTGTTAACATTCAATATTTTTTAATAAGTCCATATCAAATCAAGTACATATTTTTAATCAGTGTAAATATAATGTATATTCAAAAACATAAGCGTTCTAGCTAGACGGTGTCTGATGATTAAAACTTGTGATGTTTGTCGTCTTGTTGCTTCACTTCATATGATCTATAAGGAATCGAAAGTAAGGGTAGGGTCTACAATGAAATGAAATAGATTCTAACCTATTTTTGACAAATATCGTACGAGCTTGAATCAAGAAGACGGTATGTGTTAATCATTTTAATTGTCTCGACATCGTCTATTTAGATTCCCTAATTTTTGATCATACGACATCATCTTTGTATTTATTGTAATGTTTTTTAGTTAGATGTAATTGCTGTTGGCATTTTTAACTTGGAAACCAGAGTACAATAATTGATTTGCATAAAATTGATAGACATTTGAAACGTAGCCATACTGATGTTAAATTTTTTATACAAAATTAGAAAATCATATTGTAATAAAGGTATAGTGGCGACTCTCCTTGTATGAGTTTTGAATACAGCTCGGGTCATTGGTGTAACATATTGATTATCTTTATTGTTTAAACATGATTTCAAACAAAATGTATTTAAAAAATTTTAGCAAACGAGTTTTTTTAATACAGTAAAATTATTTTTTAAAAATGAAGATAATCAATAATAAGCCCTTTTCGTCCAATTAAGAATGTTTTAAATCAAGCCATGCCTTAAATATTGCATACATACGGCATATCGCGATTAATGTGAAGTATCGAATTTAAAAATTTTCATTTAAAGTCAAAAATCGTTGTCAAACACTTCTTCATTACAAAAATTAATTTAGACTATAATTTATATATTATCTACTACTGACCGATTGTAA